GAAGTCGAGTCAGTCTTTATTTGTGTAGCATGTGTTGTATGGAGCAGGTCCATCTTTATTATATCATCCACCAGCAAGTGACAGTGGCACGAAAACACTTCCCTCTAAGAGGCAGAAACCTGGAGCAGAACCGGACTCAGGGTGGGCGGAGCCATGTTCAAATATGTTGAACAGCTGAGACGTGGGACAGGCTGGTGTCACATGGGACTCACCTCCCGCCCCTAAGATCATCCACTATGGCACCATGACGCAGCAAATACGTCAAAACTCTGATAATCCACTTGTTTTTGTTGACGTGACTCTGTCTCTTCAAACCTTGTTGTACAATCAGTGAAGTGCAGACGACCGAGTGAGAGAACAAACCTGCTTCTCTTCTTGCAGACGGCTGCGCTCTCTTCATCTTTTATTGTTTTCTTCCTCCCTTCCTCCCGACAGCAGCAGCAGCAGCAGCAGCGATATGTTTCCTAGTCATGCATCAAGAGATCAAATCTAAAAGTAATACAATCTCTCGGACTTACATCTCGGTGGTTTAATTTGAAAACCAACTCTCTCTGCCGTCTGCCGTGGCTTTAAAAGTGAAATAAGTTATGCCGGCGGTGCCCTCGCTTCACCCTCTGACAAGAACAATAGCGGCCGGCTCGCCTCAGAAAACTGTGTTTTACAATAATACTCGTCCACAAAGCAAGACCGACAATGTCAGTGGTTTTATGGTGCGCTACACAGTGCAGCTAATGTTCTCCTGCAAGCCAGCATCGCTTCACTGCCTCTCCCTCTCTCTCCCCTCCTCCTCCCTGTCTCTCCCGGTGTGTCTCACCCTCTTTCCGCCTCTTATTTTTTATTTTTTTTTATCCGTCTCCTCTCTTTTATTCTCCTCGGCTCTCCCTCGCTCCCTCTCTTCGTATGAAAAATCCATTCCGGCATGGGTTTTGACAGCCTGTCTTTGGTGGGTGTGTAAAATTCAAATAATTCACTGTGCATAGACAGTCACTTTGGGGCTGCTTTGTATTTTGTATTTGACTCTGTGTCACTTCGGCTGCCTGTTGAGTCCCAGTCGGCAGCGTTTAGCTTTTAAAAAAAAAAAAACCCACCACCACTAAACTGGAGGTTTTATTTATTTGGTAAATATTTCCAAAGGCAGCTTCATCTCCAAATGCACTTTAACACTTTAACCGTCCGACCAGAGATTTAACTTTGAACACGCTGATAATTAGAAGACTTTTATTCATGGACCAGGACAATAGAAATGAAATGTTGCCTCCTTCAGTGAAAGCTCTTTGACTTGAGTGTGTTTGTAAAAAGCATGGAGCTGAATCTGTGCAGGGCTCAGGCTCTTTTAACCCTTCACACACAGCTTTGCTCTGGAGTAGATTTCAGTTTGTCAGAGCATCTTATTCCACGGAGTCTGTTCCCTCTGTCAGCTCCTCCTTCAAGCTACACCATGTTTACAACTGGGTGACCAACTCCAGCTTTCACAGTGTGGACAACTAGTTTTTGGAAATTGTAATAACTGCTAATTTAAATTCTCCGCTCCAGCACATTATGAAGACAGAAGTTATAATGGTGTTTTTATCTCCTGCCGTTCCAGATCCCAGATCTCCTTCCACACAGTGTGAAAATCAATCTGCAGACTCTTGAAACTTGCTTGGGTTGTTTAAGTCATCACAGTTAGTCAAGTATGCATTTATTTTCCCTCAATCTGCCGAGGAAGGCCACCAGATTTTTGACTGAAAGCTCTAGAATTTTCTTTCAAAATGTTGTTTCCATTTGCCTCATGTCATACGAGGGAGGGTGGAGTCAGCGGGGGTCAGTGGGGTCAGCGGGGGTCAGTGGGGTCAGTGGGGGTCAGCGGGGGTCAGCGGGGCACCACAGCTCATAATTGTTCCTGCACTTTAGGTATTTTTGGAAACTGTGAGAATTTAAAAGTGTTGTGAGTCGGTGATAACGAACCCTCCTCTGCTCCGCTGCTTGTTGACGGATCGTTAAAGCAAAAGTCGCGCTGTTTTAATTGTCCCCTGTTTGTGTTGTCATGGTGATTATGTGTAAACAACAGACTGGTGCAGTATTTTAGATGATATAAGGTCCACACCTTTTTATTTGGTTTGCCCACTGAGCTTGAGATGCCCAATTGTTGATCATTTTTCCACATGAATCTGTTGCCAAATAATCTTATTGATTAACTGCTTGTGTGAATATATTTTGCAATGGTTAATTTTATTTATGCTCATGACATTTGTATTTTGATGTACATCCTTTCTCCATGTTTCCTCTTCTCAATCTTTGTTTCTCTTGCTTTCGTTTCCTTTTCCTCCCACCTCCTCTTCTCCTTCTCCTTCTTCTTCCTGCTCGTTGTCTCTTGTCGTTAAAGAACCTTTTCACATTTTTTTTTGTGTGTGTTTCACAGTGACCCCTACTGGGAGCGGCCAGCTAATGCAGGCAGTTGCTCCGCCGCCCGGCCCAAGACCCTTCATCTGGCCGGCCAGCAGCATACCTCGTCACCATGGTAACGTTTGTGTGCGCTCCCAGGAGCAGTAGTAGTAGTAGTAGTAGTAGTAGTAGTAGTAGTAGTAGTAGTGTGTCATTGTGTGTATGTGTGTTTTGTTGGATCAGAGCATTGTGAATATCTTGTGTTCGTTTCTGTTTATCCAGAGTCCGACCCAACGCTCCTTCAGTCTCTTTATGGAGGCAAGTTGAAAATGATGATAGCTTAGCTTAGCTTAGCTTAACTTATTTTAGCTTAGCTTAATTTATGTTAACTTATCTTAGCTTAGCTTAGTTTAGCTTAGCTTAGCTTAATATCTGAATGTCAGAGGAATCAAGAAGAAAGTCATATAAGCTGTAGGAAATAGATCTTTCACTACGAAACTTGATGAATTTAAGTTGTACAAAACACCTTAAGTTAAGTTTTCCTTAAAGTCTGAGTTAAGGTTTCCTTAAAACAAACACCCTAAAGTCTTTTTTCTGAAGGTTTCCTTCAAATGTTCACTGAAGTATTTAAGGTTTTCTCCTTATGGGAATTCCTTTTAAAGACGTTAAACTACTTCAGACCTTAGTGACCAAACTAAGGTACAAAACTAAAGGCACCTCTGACTCTTAACTGCAACATGTCTGAGTTCACGGTGATTAATGAAGAACATGAAAACATCCCAACCAACGGACCTTTAACGATGAGGAAGTGATTCCACGTCACAGATCTGACCTGCAGTCAGTTTATGATCCGTCCGACTGTCTACAGGTGGATCGCTCCTCTCTCCTCAGCTCAGGGAGCTCTACAGTTTTATGTCACATGATCTCTCTGGTCAGGTGAAGTCCAGGTGTGTCCACAGGTCAGAGGTGTGTCGGGTCACTCACAGAGTTACTGACTTTCCAAAACTGATAACACTCAGCCTATCACAAGCTAATGGCAGCAAACAAACGGGAACAATGGAAACGGGACAATTTTACCGCTGTAAAATCTCTTTCACTGCTGTAAATGCCGTAAATTGTTCCTCAAAGGAAACCTTAGAAGAGACTCTGTGCTACACACCCTTAAGTACGTCCCTGAGCTAAGGAGAAATTAAACCTTAAAGTAGTAGTGTTTTGTTATCCTTGAGAATGTATAAAGGTGAGGATGTGTTCAGCATTAAAATGAAAGCTAGTCGACAAAGAACGACTTTCGACTCAGAGCCGAAACCTGGGAAACTGCTGTTTCCAGAGACGTGGAAGAATCCAGACACAGTATCGCTGACCTGAGGTGCTGCCCAGGTGATCTTGGACAGCTGTTAATCAGTGGCTTCTGTTCTGTACAGTCGGCTGTGTTTCATATAGGAGATGGGAACAAGGGCTTCAGTAAAGATGGAGGAATCAAACAGCTATAACCAATCAAGAGAGGGGAAGTCATTCTGCTCAAAACGTCCATGTTAACGCGGCGTAGTGTCTAGTTAGTCTGTGCAGCCCAGGTAGAGACGGCGTCAGGAGAACAGGCTCTCTGCTCAAAGGGAAATCTGATCACATGACGATATGTTTGACATGATAGTTGTACAGCTGAACCTTTGCACAGGTGTTTATCGGTTGTTGCTAACGTTACAGTTTTACCTGTTGAAACCTGCCGCAGTCTATGTGAGCTTTGTTATTGTGTGTGTGTGTGTGTGTGTGTGTGTACATATTGCTGTCTGGATTGCAGCTTTTATAACCACCCCACCATCCCTCCTCAGAGGTCTTTGTCAGTGATTTGACACCAGGAAGTGAACTGAAGCTAGATGTTGTGGTGTGTGTGTGTGTGTGTGTGTGTGTGTGTGTGTGTGTGTGTGTGTGTGTGTGGTGGATTATAAAGGGGGGATTTGTGTCGAAGTCAGGCTGAGAGCTGAAAAGAGACGGCAGTTAATAGCTCATTATATGACGGGCTTAACACCATGTAGGTCTCTCACACACACAAACACACACACACACACACACACACACACACACACACACGGGTGTAAGAGCCTTCTTTTAGTGTGTGTGATGTGTCCAAAAACAACCGTGGCTTCCAAGATGCTGAGTTTAAATCACATGAATTTATTCACAGGTCAATAATTTATGTGATTTATTTCCTTATTATGATCTTTAATTTTCCATATAACATCAACAGTATATTTAGTGACAGTCTCATCTTTTAAATGTTGTTTAAATGACAGTTCTGTACAAACTGCACCTCCCAAGAAACCCCAGTTTTCTGTCAGAAGAGTTGGATGTTGAATCAGCAGCTTCCTCTCTCAGTGTTGAAACTATAAACAGTCAGCACAAAAACAGACTGTACAGTTCCTGCTCCATTCACAGGAGGAGTTCTCACTTGTGCTTCCACAAGTTCACATAGAAACCTCATCATAAGCATTACACTCTACATGTTAATGTCATGACAATTAAAAGCACAAGTAATAAAGAAATGTGAAAATGGAGAAAAACGAACAACTGTGGTATCAGCTAAGAGAAGTGGGAGCGCATACACTTCCACCTATCACCTTGTCTTCAGAACGTCATTACTCCACCACTGTTTGAGTCAGAGATGTGACGTTTTTTCTCCTTAATCTAGAGAATTGTGGTTTTCTAATGAGCTCCTGTTCGTCCGTGTGAGTCTCTGACTTCTGTCGATACACTGACATTAAAGTTAGGAAATGTTTGGAGTAGTTTTACCATTTGTCTGGAGCATTCCTGCTTTCTGTGCGTTTATTGATCGATTCTCTTCCGCCATCTTTGATAGTGATGTCTAGAGTCCCTTCAGATATTCAGAGATGTTTTTCATAAATCCTGCTCCAAAGAATGAGAATAACTCATGATCAGATTCAAATCCCCTCTAGAACAATCCAAACAGATGTGAGCAACTTCCTGTGTTGAAAGATTCCTTCCTTATTCTGGTTTACAGCTTTCATCTATAAAATAAGGAAAAATGTGAGTGTGTGTGTGTGTGTGTGTGTGTGTGTGTGTGTGTGTGTGTGTTTGTGTGTGTGTGTGTGTGTGTGTGTGTGTGTGTGTGTGTGTGTGTGTTTTTTTGTGTGTGTGTGTGTGTGCGCGCGTGTGTTTTTTTGTGTGTGTGTGTGTGTGTTTTTTTGTGTGTTTGTGTGTGTGTGTGTGTGTGTGTGTGTTTTTTTGTGTGTGTGTGTGTGTGCGTGTGTGTGTGTGTGTGTGTGTGTGTGCGCGTGTGCGTGTGCATCAGTACGTGTCTCTCTCACTTTGGCCGAGTGTGTTTCTAATGTTCGGGTGAAATTGAGATAAATGGTGGAAGAGCTGGGTGGCCACAGAGGGCCCTGATACACACTCCACCTGTCCACTCTGCTTAGAGCTGTTAGTGTGTGTGTGTGTGTGTGTGTGTGTGTGTGTGTGTGTGTGTGTGTGTGTGTATACCACCATACATGCATCTTTGGCTTCCTATTACAGTATGTGTGTGTTCACTTTAATTATGTTTCTGTATGTTTCTGTGGAATTGTGTATTTACATGCACATCTCCGGCTGAGCAGGATTACCTGTGTGTGTGTATGTGTGGCTGTTGTGTGTTTTTGTGTTTATAGAGTGTGTGCAAGTAAGCAGAATGGTTGTAAACTAAAAGAGACAGATGTACCAGGGAGAGCTTGCCTACTGCAGCCCTGATCTCACACACACACATGCGCGCACACACACACACACACCGTGGAGCTGCTGTAATTCAAGTGGAACCTAAGCGAGGCTGGAGAGAGACTGTGTGGATGAAGAGAGGGAGTAAATGTTTGGTGTGAGACAATAGAAAAGAGAATGGAGGGAGTAGAGAGAGAGAGTTGTGTTTGAGTCTTGTTTACTGGCATCAGACAGAACGAGAGGGAGGACGTGTCATTATCTGAACAAATAGGATGTCTGTCAGTGAATTCCAAAACCTCCCAAATTACAGTTTTGATGGTGTGGTATCACATCAGCAGGATGTAGACGCAGCGAGCTGCTTGGCTGAGACCGTCCTCTGCTGAGAAATGGCAACCAGCAGCCGTGGGAGTGCTGTTAGGTTAAACCTAACCTAATGTAAAGCTAACCTAATGTAAACCTAAACTAATGTAAACCTAAACTAACCTAACCTAACCTAAACCTAAACCTAACCTAACCCTAAACTAACGTAAACCTGTCTGTTTCTGACTTGTCTTTGGGACAGGTCAGAAACGGAATTCCTGTCATTTCTCCACACCCTGAACACACACCATCCCAAAATAAAACTCAAACATAATTTACAAACGCTAACTATGGAATTCCTGGACACATGGGTCTTCTTCTGTGACTCCAACGACCATAGCAAAAAACTGCCTACAAAAGTCTATTTCAAGGACGCTGACCGCCGTGCACTACTACATAAATCAAGCTTCCACCCTAAGCACACGTACAGGGGTCTGATAAAGTCGCAGCTGATACGCTTCCACAGAATCTGCACCTTCCTGGAGCATGTGGAGGAGTCCACCCGAACCCTTTTTAGTGCGCTGAGGCTGAGGGGCTACTCGAAGCGCTTCCTTAGGAGCATCAAAGCGGAGGTCAGCGGCACCCTCAGCCAAAATTACAATATTATAACACAGTCGTCTGGCCCATCCCTTGTCCCTGTGGTAATAACATATTCTGACTGTAACACAAAGTTTTTAAGAACTTTAAAGACCAATTTTCAGGTGGCGAGGGAGGGCTGCGATGCGCTGCGGGATTGCCGCATGATCTCCACTTACCGACGAAATAAAAACTTTAAAGATATTTTAATCCACACGGCTTTTAACAACCAAGAAAATAACAATAGGGAGGCGCTTCGAGAATCGGAAATTGATTTTATCCGTCTCCCCTACATTTTTAACCCACAGGCCAAAACAGGCATAAATCTGTGGCAGGCCTTGAAACCTAAAACAAAAAAATGCTATATATGCAATCAGATGCAAGGCCTGCCACATTTTATACATCGGGGAGACGGGAAACGAATTAAACATAAGAATAAAACAACACAAGTATAAAATGAGCAGTGGTAATGGCATGAGTGTCTTATATGCACATTTTAAA